GGACGTAACCCACCCAAGACCCGGTGCGTTATTGTTCAGCTGAGACCACTCAATGTACCAATAATGTTTTTTCTTGCAAAGATCCTGGGTTTTCGAGACTGACACAGACCTGGTGAGTGGGGTGAGAAAGGGGACAGGAACATCAGGGTGCGACGTAATCTGCTTCTCAAACACACAGCTGAATTCCCTGTCACCGATTAAAAATACCATGACCATTTTCTATCAGATCTGGGGCTTTTTATATAACAGCGGCAAGAGAATGAACTTCTATTTGTACGAAACATTCAGAGGGCAAATCAGCAACGTGAGTCCATTGAGTTGCTATTCCCTTTGCCATCATGAAAAGGAAAAAAAGCATCTGCTGTGGCATAACTGCAACAAGACGGCAGATGGGAGAAGAGCATCATCCAGTATTAAGAGATCATTCATGGGTTTATTTGTAAAGAAGTAGGGTTGGGAGGGACCTCCATAGGTCACCCAGTCCAGCCCCCTGCGGTGTGTCCCCTACCATCTCCCAAAGCAGCTCTCAGGCTCTGATGTGGAGCGTGATTGATTTTCCAGGGAAGAGGATATGAAGGGATGGAGTCAGAGACCGACCGGTCCTTGCAGAGGTGCCCCAGGCTGCAGGGTCAGGCTACATGCAGGGAGTGCTACATCCGGACAGTTTTGCTTTTACTAAAGGGGCTGGGAGCTGGATGAAAGGACTAGGGATCTGTGTCCTGTTCGTGGTCACATCTGTATGACTGACACATCAGGGCCTCATGTCCAAGCAGGTGCAGGCCTTAGGACCTGGTCCTTTGTGAGCTTCCCCCCTAACTGGTCGGGACCACGACGGAGCATATCCAATCCACGTGCATTGAGACCCTTGGAGAGCTGGACGGAGAGGGGGTGGTATTTGCAGCCCTTCTGCATCCAGCCTGTCCCTCCCTGGCTGAGAGTGGCCTTGATGCACCATAAACCACATCACCCCCCCCACCCCATCCATTGTTAAGGGTGCTGCCACCCCACAGCCTGGTGTCAGGTGCAGATGACTTCAGAGCATAGCTGTCTACCATGGGGGTGGAGATGTCACCTTCACCACCTGCTTCCTAAGCTAATGCACTCACCACCACTGCTCAGGTAGAAGCTGCCTGCTCCCACTCGCAGCCCTGGTGCATCTCAGCCTGTTTGGAAAGCTGCACACTTGCACGAGCAAGATACGGAATATGCTTGAGGAGTACCCTTGCCTTGGTGTGTGCCCTGCAAACCTATGAGCAAGCAGCAGGACAGGTGGGGAATGCCTCCAAGTCCTAAAGGGGGTAAACCTGAGCCAGGCACAGAGCCTGTCGCTGCCTGCAGCACTGCGGGCAGCTGGGAGTGGGCGGTGGGGTGCTGTTGGTGCACACGGATGCAGCATGGAAGAGGAGGAAGAGGCCCCAGCCCTACAAAACAGAAGGCGGCACCCCACCTCCTGCACCCACAGCCCCTGGCCTCTCAGCCCAAGTGAAAACTTCATCCCCTTCATAGTTACAACCAGGATTTTTGCTTGATTAACAGCTTGTAAAACATGCAGTTCTACAACCGCCCGGCCAGGCCTGAGCTTTGCTGGAGAACAGACCAGTGCAAGCCATTGAGCCATTGCTCAGTCCATATAAGTGTGTCCCTTGATGTTAGGGGCAGCACAGAGGGCCAGTGCCAGCAGCTGCCAAGCTGTCTCTCACCCTGGCTTTAAAGAGGGGTGCAACATGTGCCAGATGGGAGGTATTCTGGGCGAGGGTGGAAAAGGTGGATAGTGCACAGCCTGGGGCTGTAGAGCCCCTGAGGAACCTTGCATCAGGACCATGCCTCTGCTCCAGAGCTGTCGGCATACCCACAACAAGAGCAAGAGCAAGAAACCTGCCCCCCAACACCCAAAAGCCTTGCAGATGCAAGCTTCAAACTGTAGCTTTCTCTACCCCGTATGAATGGCTGCCTGAATCGCAAGGTCCAGCTCCTCTGTTTTGCTTTTCTCACACTCCCGACCCACTGACCCAGTCCTGCCGGAGGGGCCCCAGGTGTCCCTGTCCTGACAGGCCTGAGCGCGGTGGCCCCGATTCATGCAGGCGGGGGTGGAACGTGTCCAGCCCCAGTGCGGGCTGAGGAGGAGGAGGGGAGGCTTGTGGCAGCCCCTGCCTTGGGATGAGGCTGCTGCACCACACCAGGCACCGGCCCCTGTGCTGCCAGCGAGCCACAGAGAGCCCCACTGCCCTCCAAGCTCCCCATCCATCCCTTTCCCTCGCTGGAGAACGGGTGACTCTCCTCTCCCCCCTTGCCCTGCCGCAGCTGCAGTCCCCATGCCCTGACCAAACATCTGCATTTCTCCTTTGCTCCAGGGGTGGGAGCAGGGGCAGGCGGTTGGAGGCAGCAGGGAGCCCCACATGGGTCTGTGCCCCCCGCAGCTGCACCCAGGTCTGGGTGTGCACCCCGTTGCCTCTGATGGCCGTCCCCCTGCTCCCGCACGCGGAGTAAAGGGAAATCCCAG